CGGGGGCTGGGTCGGGTGGCGGGCTGCACCGAGCGTGGCAGACACGTATGATATGGAGTAGCATTCGCGCGCCCGACTGGACTGACGTCACGAGGGCTACTGGTCCGCCAGGTATCCCGCCCCGCCCCCGGTCCGTACCGTCCCGTCCATACCAGTCCAGACGGCTGTCGTCGGGATTCCGTCGACGGGTCTGACCTGTCCCTGGGCTTGCCCAGCACGCACGCATGCGTGCTAGTCCCCCAGTTCGGTCACGTCATCGCACTCACACGTACGTGCGCGGGGTGCGTGCGCGCGCGCGCGCGCAGGCAACGCACACACGCACACTCTGAACACGCGAGGCGGGGCTGGCGACGAACGCTGGAAGAGAGTAATCGTCACAGCCCGTTACCGTCACGCGCGCACGAGCGGCGGCGGAGTGGCCCATACCGTCACACACACGCTCGTTCCACACGTCACGCGTGGCTCTTCTGAGAGATCGGAGCGGCCGCGTGCTCTCCCGAAGGAAAGGCGGGAATCCCTGCGGTCCACGCTGGCCGTGGCCGATGTGCCTATCTCCGCGACTCCTCCCCCACTTCACTCCGCCCGCCCCCGCCCCAACGAAGGCCTCGGCGTGAATCATTGATGGATCTGAACGAACGTTTACGGCCCCGTTGGCTTGCCGTTTGCTCAAAAATTCGTGACACGCTGCCAGCGCAGCGCACTTACCGTGGTGGCTGCATGTTGCCGCGGGGTTGTGGCGAGCGCCTGTCCCGGTGGAGCTGGTCGTGACGGAGCAAGGGGCTGGCAGCAACTGGTGGGCTGGGGCGAAGCGCTGCCCTGGGGGCGCGGCGCACCCCTCAGGAGAGGCGAGGGGTGGGGTGGGGGGAGGGTCACAGGGTGGCTGCGGCGGTGGTCCAGCGAGGTGAGGGGTGGACGAGAAAGAGGAAGGGAGGGGGCGGGCAGACTGGAGGGGCAGAGGATGAAATTGATGAAATTCTCGACATCATCAGTCTGCCTGCTATCGCCGCACCATTAGCTGTTGGGTCAAAATTTGTGAAATCACAGGGTTTGAACCGTCATGTCCACCTTGGTGAGCAACCTTCTCAGGGTTTGTTACCCATGAGGGACTACCTTCGGAACCGTTCTTACAACTTCCAAAACCTGCCGCGTTTCGGAGATATGAAACAATCAAGTTTTTCGGAAATTTCGTGCAGCGTTATCTTTTAAATGCCGCTAGAGGGCCAAATTTTGATCAAATCTCAAAAACTAGGGTACCGTTGGAAAGAGGACGAAAAAAGGAACACAAAAATTATTTTTGCCGAATTTTTTGGTCAATTTTTATTTTTGACCTGTAAAAGTGAATATTTTGAATCAGAATTACGAAATGAACATGATTACGGATTTTGACCGCTCCGGTCTCCAAAAATAGCTTGGACCATCAAGAAAACGAAACGCATGTCGACAAAAAGTATTTTGTTTCGTTTGGGAGAACCAGCGTTTCTCCCTGACCTCTGCAGGGCCAATTTGTAGCGTTTTCGGCCTTTCTGAGGGCTTCAGGCCCCTTCCCTGCACCCACACCCACGGTGACGGACCCTGAAGGCTCTTCGGGCACTCCAACAGCACAGCGACGAGTTTTAGAAACCGGCGCCGACACCACCAGCCGTTTTTGGGGGCGACAGTAGCGCTCTATTGGCGGACTTCGGAAACAACATCAAGTTTCGTTGTACTTCGGAGGCCGGGGCAGGGGAGGGGAAGGGTTAGGAGTTTGTTTTAATAAAACTGCCAACATCGTGTTGATATTTTGAAACTTTTACGTTTGTCCGTAGGGCAGACTAATGGTGGATTTAGTTTCGTGGTGAAGCGCTTCATGAGGCGCCTCATGAGGCGCCTCACCTCACTGCTATTGGCCGCGGCCGCAAGCTCAGTCATCACGGCTGTGATAGGCTGAGGAGTATAAAGTGAAGCGCTTCATGTGGCGCTTCACTCACGAAACTAAATCCAGCATAATGTCTGATTGTTTTTCAAGTGACCAAAGCGGAAGAGAGTGGTGTCACAGATCGTGTTTAAACTTTTTCAGGGGGTGAACCTAACCAAAATACCGAGTTACCTACCGTGAGTCATCCCAGAAATAACTAGGAACGAAATTAGAAACACTGAAGAGGCGGTGAGCACTTACATTTGGTTATGAAGTTGTCTATCATTGCAGGCACGACTTTTAACAGCTCAAGGTTTCCTTTGATTCATGTTGTTTGTGACTAGACGGATTTTTCAAGTTTTATCACTCTAAATGTAAAGGGACAATTTTGTCCGTAGATTTGCAACGATTTCGTGCACATCCAGAAAGGATGCAATTTTGTTCCTAAAACTAGACAAATTGTGTGAAACTTCACACAATTTGTCCAATTAAGGGAACAAAATTGCATCCTTTCTGGATGTGCACGAAATCGTTGCAAATCTATGGACAAAATTGTCCCTTGACATTTAGAGTGTAAATCCTAAAGTTCGGTCGACGGTCAGAGTTCTGATGTTCTTTCATGGGTTTTGATAAGCATATGTTAGTATACATTCCGAAATGTTTAAAACAGTCAAAAATATACAGTTTGTGTGAA